GCACAAATTTTTGTGCACCGGGCCTCTAGTGTGTGTGTGTGTGTGTGTGTGTGTGTGTGTGTGTATATATATAATGCTGCCTACCTCTGTGAACTCTTCTCTAACTCTACTTCTCCTTGATGATCTCATAGTGTCATGGGTTTAAATATTGTCTCTAGTGCTGTGAGTTTGAAATTTTTATCTCCAGACATCTTCCCCAAAATCCATAGTGGTTTATATATTAGAAGCAGTATAGCATAGAGGTCAAGGGCACAGAATCTGGGGGGCCAGATTGTTTGCATTTAATCCTGGTTCAACCACTTACTAGCTTGTAACCTTGGGAAAGGTTCTTAACTTTCTGTACCTCAGTTTTTCCGTCTATGAAAAAAAAAGATAATAGCCCACCAGCATGGCTCAGTGGTTTAGCATCGACCTATGAACCAGGAGGTCACAGTTCAATTCTGGTCAGGTCACATGCCGGAGTTGCAGGCTGGATCCCTGTGGGGGACGTGCAGGGAGCGGCTGATTGGTGGTTCTTGACATTGATGTTTCTGTCTCTCCCTTTCCCTTCCTTTCTGAAATCAATAAAAATCTATTTTTAAAAAAGATAATGATAATACCAACCTCATGGGATTGTTTTAAAGATTAAATGACTAAGTATAAGCAAAGTGTATAAAACTTTGCCATAGTGGGTGTTAGGTATCGTTATCATCATCATTAAACATTTCACACCAGATAGCACACACTAACCAAAATTCTATCTTTCTCTCCCAAGTTAATCTCCCCTCATCTTCCCCAACTCATATACAGCAACTCTGTCTCTGTGCTCTAGCCAAAAATTCTGGATCTTATCGTTACTTCTCTCTCTCCTATACCCTATATCCATTCCATCAACAGTTTCTGCCTCACTATCTCCACCACTGTTGCCCTGGTCCAAGCCAGCTTCTCCTTTCAGCTGAATCATTGCAGTAGTGTTCTGTTTCCTCTGCTTTCATTGTTGCTCCCCTGCCATCTGTTCTCAGGATATCAGCCTGAGTGATCTTTCTAAGACAGGAGTCTGATTGTGTTGCTCCACTGTCCCAGATCCTTCAGTAGTTTCCTGACCTAATCAGAGCCTTTTGGGCCTTGTAGGCCACTATACATGAATTCCCTCTGTTCCTTTTCCTGTCTTCTCCCACTCTCACTCTCACCCCTCTGTTCCATCCACACTAGTTAGTCTCCTTGCTATTCCTTGAGCACACCAAGTGTACTTCCACCTCAACCTTTGCACTTGCTGTATTTTTCCATTCTTTGTCCAAAAGCCCCATTCTCAGTGAGGACCCTATTTTAAATTCCTAATACCATGCTCCTCCATATACACACACTATTTCCCTTACTAGCTTTATTTTTCTTTGATTGGGCATATCACCATTTGTCATACCACACATTCTACTTATTGTTCATCTCTTCTTCACTAAAACATAACTCTCTGAGGACTGAGGTCCTCATCTAAAGTTTTGTTCACTGCTGAGTCTTCAATGCCTAGAATAGTAGGTGGTCTATAGTAATTGCTCCAAAATATTTGAGTTAGTGAATGAAAAAAAATGAATGAATGACAGATACACTGGTTTCAAGTTCACCTTGTAGTGGGAGAAATCAGACATTTAAAAAATGGTTAGCAAATTGTGTAACATTAACGTACCAATAGAGCAGTGGTTCTCAACCTTCTGGCACTTTAAATACAGTTCCTCATGTTGTGACCCAACCATAAAATTATTTTCGTTGCTACTTCATAACTGTAATGTTGCTACTGTTATGAATTGTAATGTAAATATCTGATATGCAGGATGGTCTTAGGCGACCCCTGTGAAAGGGTTGTTCGACCGCCAAAGGGGTCGAGACCCACAGGTTGAGAACCGCTGCAATAGAGCAAAGGAAGAATGTGAGAGGTTGTGATGAAGGTTTCTGGGAGGAAATAGCACCTAAGGCTGACTTAAAACTATGAGTTCCAGTTAAACTTAAAAGAGAAAGGCATTTCAGACAGAAGGAACAGCATTAACAGAATCACCGGGAGGAGGAGACCAACTCGATCATTCATTTAACTTAGGGATATACGAAAGAAACAGAAGATAAGACCCAAGTTTCAGGCATGGATGACCAAGGGATGGGGAA